CCTTCATCCAGTCATTGATTGGCAAATGTCTGTAAACTATTATCATAAATATGTTGATAATTGTGTTTGTTTCACTCGCAAAATGCAGTATGCAATAAAGCAATTAGCTGATTTTGAGGCTATTAATTACCTAAATATTGGACTCGACTCCTTTAAAAACGATAGCTACACCAACATCCAACCTCCTGAAGGCAGGAAACCCCATAAAAGCCACGCCCAGCTTGACCGTGGCTGATGATGATGATGATGTCAATGACGTCACCAACTCTGTAGCGCAATCAATGCCTTCAATAACAATATGTAACACAATTTTTGTTCCTGGGAAGTAAGTGTTATTCGTGATTGCTTATGCGTAAAAAGTATATAAAATGGCTATTATTCCCCACAAACTTAGCTTTTGTGATCAGGACAGTGATATTTTAATGAGAAAACGGACGCATGTGTGTCTTTTCGTTCACATAAAGTCAGAAAAAAACAACATATTAATAAAAATTAACATGTATTTATATTAAAGTAATACAAAAATGACTGCAAAAGATTTAGAAGTGAGTAGTTTTTCGAGATTTACGATTTTACTGTAAATCACTTTCACGAATCAGCCGCCAAATGTAGTCTCCCATCATGTTCTCGTTATACTGTCCTTGGTAGCGGCGTTCAAAGTCCAGTATATCCTGGTGGAAGCGCTCGCCTTGCTCCTCCGAGTACGCTCCCATGTTCTCCTTGAATTTATCAAGATGAGCATCAAGGATATGGACTTTGAATGACATCCTACAGCCCATTGTGCCGTAGTTCTTCACCAGAGTCTCAAACAGCTCCGCATAGTGTTCGTCCTTGTGATTGCCCAGGAAGCCATGAACCACTGCGACAAAGCTGTTCCAAGCCGTTTTCTCCTTACTCGTGAGCTTCTTGGAGGATTCATTGCACTCCAGGATCTTATTTATCTGTGGTCCGATGAAGACACCATCTGTGACCTTTACCTCAGACAGCTTAGGGAAGAAGTCTTGAAGGTACTTGAAGGCTGCCGACTCCTTATCGACAGCTCTGACAAATTGTTTCAAGAGGCCCAATTTGATGTGCAGTGGTGGCATCAGCACCTTCTTGGGGGTCCACCAGTGGCTCCCACTTGACGTTGTTCCTCACCACAGAGAACTCGGTCCGCTGTGGCCAGTCCCGCCTGTGGTAGTGCGTCTTGGTGTCCCTGCTATCCCAAAGGCAAAGATAGCAGGGAAACTTGGTAAAACCGCCTTGGAGAGCCATTACGAATGCCACCATTTTGAAGTGTCCGATGACCTCCCAGCCGTACTCATCGTACTTCAAGGCGTCCAGCAAGGTCTTGATGCTGTTGTAATCCTCTTTGAGGTGTACCGAGTAAGCCAGGGGAAGAGACGGGTTGCTACCTGTTTGGAGCAGCACGGCTTTGAGGCTCCTGGATGAGCTGTCAATGAAGAGGCGCCACTCATTCTGGTTACAGGCGATTCCGATTGCCTCGAACAGACTGGTCACTTCATTGGGCCATCTGATTGTAATCAGATGACCCAATGCTGATACGGCAGCAAAATGATTTGCTCGCATTTGGAGGCAACTCCAGTGTGTCAATATGAGTCGCATATTGGCGTAGGGACTTGTCGGTAAAGCTTGGACCAGCGTTGTTGTCTTGGCGGAGCTGATGGAAGAGCGCACAGGGAGAGCCGTCCACCAGACTCGTGTGGCCGTCCACCAATCTAAGTCGTTAGTACGATTTGTTTTGGTTGTTGTTCCAATTAAAGGACCATCCATAAATAGTTAACGTGTATTCATTGGTAATAGGTTATGTGCAATACCGTGCCACTGCAGTTGAATATTTAACGGGCAAAAAATTATGAGGGGAGTGAACATTTAGCTCGGAGGCACCGACAATAGAATGTGTGCCAACCAGTGGTGAAGATGGAAAGGATGCTTTACTAATTCATTTGAGAAAATAAAGTTTGGATGAATACCACTGTGCATCGGATTCACTGGCAGCGACGATGATAATGACGATCGTTCTGAAAATATCATGTTTTTGTCTAATTTGATCCCAATTGTGCTATCGGCATCCTGGAATGAGATGAAGTATTCTTTCAGATCTCTCACAGAAGCCCCAGTGAGACTCGTTGTGTGAAGAATTGCCCACGGAAATGGATAACACAGAGCTACCTCTAAGTTTCCTTCAAATGACCTCTGGTGCACACATTAGAGGGTAGCACCCTCCCTTCCCACTCCATACGAAATATCAGAGCTAAATTCTGTCCAAACTAAGAGCAGACCAAAACTTAATGTGTGCAGTCAATTGGTGACGAGGCAAAAAAATATATATCAACTCACTCCACTTAAGAATTCAGTTTAAGCGCAGGCAGATGCCTAGATTTGAACTCAGGATATCAGATGAATTTCCAGCTCAGTGCTCTGACCTCTGAGCCAACCAGCCACCACAGATAATCAACTTTTCTTATTTTTCGATTTAAAGCTTTCGTGACTGCAGGGATTCATCTTCTTGGTTCTCTCGGTAAAGTCACGTAGACGGGAAGTAATAAAATAATACAAATAAAACATAATAAAATTATTCTCACGACGTTTCGGCCACAACGCAAGCAGCCGTCCTCAGGTGAAACCAGGTCTGTCGAGGCGACAGCGTCTGAATGAATTCATTCATTCAATGAATTAATTCATACTCTGAATGAATTCATTCATTCAATGAATTAATTCATACTCTGTCGCATCGACAGACCTGGTTTCACCTGAGGACGGCTGCTTGCGTTGTGGCCGAAACGTCGTGAGAATTATTTTATTGTGTTTTATTTGTATTATTTTATTACTTCCCTTCTACGTGACTTTACCGAAAGAACCAAGAACTTTTCTTATTATTGTGATTTGGCTATATTATTGTGAGTGTGACCATGCATGGGGCATTGCATGTGAATGAATCGCCATGGTTTGAGTTATTGTTAGTAACAACATTAATTGTTATGATAAAAAAAAAATCTGCAGATGTCCTTTGAAAATGTCTCAATTTTATATTTAATGGGTATTGTCCGAAGTATGAATACGTTATACTGCCATACCATAATGCATTCCTCAATAACTAAACAGTGCATACGTATTGTCCAAGATACAATTTCATATTTAATAAAGACATAGCCCACAAGAGCATAGCAAAACAAGACCATTACATAAAAAAAATAAACACTACAAAGTAATAAAATCTATTTTTAAAAGGTTTCATATCCAAACTAATGCCAACTTGTTGAATAAGCACCTTTATCCGACACGTACACTTTTCTGTGCCGCTTTGTGCTGCCGCATACACGGGAACGAGTGCCAGTCCCTGTATTTGCTATGCGAGGCGGAGGGGGGCGGGGCAGAGGAGGGTGCTGCAGGAACTGTTTGCATGGTCAAACGCGTGAAGGTGTTTATCTTGTCATGGCAAGGGGGGGGGGGAAGGTCTGTCAAGGAAGAAGGCTTGGCTCGATTAACAGAGCAAGAGCACACCCTAAGCCATGTGAAGTGCTGCGATCCATTCAGACTAGCCTGCAAATCCCACTTGCCTTGCGATGGCTTTCCATGCCTGGCGGTCACTAATGTTGAGATTTTTTTTCGGGTTTTGCTGCTGCTGCTGCTGCTGCTGCTTTGTGTGCATGGTCTGTGAGGAGCGTGGAGATAGATTAAACTGCTCAGCCTTGGGAGAGGCCGATTGTTCTGGGTGGATGGGATTAAATAATAATAAACACGCCTACAACTTTTCTAAAAATATAAATTTGCCATCCTGCACCTATGCATAACATTTTATTCCCACAGACAATGTTTTTGTAAAAATATTTTTTTCGCCTCAAATCTGATAATCCGTTGCCCATCGACCTTAAGAATATTCTCGTTTTGGTTCAATTAATTACTTCAATGTGCACCAGTTTAATTTCATGCTTCTTCAGACAAGCTGATGCCACAATCCCAGCCACCTGCTCAATTTTCCTGGCCATTCAGCCCCTTAAACATCCAGAGAGAATTGAAAAATTAACCCGTAAAAACAAAGTTTTTCACTATAAATACTTTATATGCGTGGTGGCTAGAGTCCTCTCATCCTCTGGCTTGAGATGGCTTGCCACCTATGGGTCAGATGATTGTCTGCCACAATTAAGCAATTGGTAATTAAATATTTTTTAAAAATTCCCTAAACAGTGTCAAATTTTGGAATTTTTTTTCGTGAAAATTAATTGTCAAGCACAACGAGTCTGTGTGCAAAATGTCAGCTCGATTGGATCACGGGAAGTGGGTTAAAAAACGACCGAAAGATTTGCACGGTCCGAAGCAAGCAAGCAAGCAAGCAAGCACGCAAGCGAACTTAATATAAAGGATTTAAAAAGTAATGCTGATTTGAGCATTCTCAAAAATATTCGTAGACCACGTTATGATATTTCACCGTTTGTTTTATTTATTTTATTTCCTCATGTATTCTTTTTTTCTGTGCACATTTTATATATCAGGGATGTGATTAACTCGAAGGAATCTCAAATATATTTTGTGTGTTTATTTAACAGCATTCCATTTTAAGTTGGCTCGTAAAAATAGGGCACCATATGATTTTCGCTGTGTTTACCATGTACAATTCAAATTCAGACAGAGAGAACTACACAAGCACAATATGACAATATACAGATTTATGGAGAACAAAGAAGCCGTGCCATTTTAGCAATTACAAAATTACACGCAAAAAAAACAGTTATCTACAAAATGAAATACACACTTGGTATTACATTAACCTTAAGCATCTAAACCCTCCTCCAAAATTGTATGGTGACTAACTGTGTATTCCTTTGTGAAATTAACACTCGCATCTGTATGAATAACACTGTGATGAATAAAGTACAACTAACTTGACCCATCATCCTTTTGCTCCTCATGTGACTACCGCATGCGTTTGTTCTGTGGTTTGTCCCCTTCTCCCTCCCTTCCCCCCCCCCCCCTTTCTGCCCTCCACCCTTTCGTAGGTGCAAAGAAGGCTACTTTGGAGTGAGGTGTATGGAAACCGAGCCCCGAACTGATACAGTTATTAATGGCAAAAGTATGTCGACGATGTTTTTATATTCTTAACCGACCAAGGCCTTTGGGGAAGGTCACCAAGGCTGTTGCGATGCCACCTGTCTTTTGGGAAACTGGACTTTTCAATTTGGGTGACATAAATCCCACATTTCCATAATTATCATTGTTAATTGGTGTATTATTTGGATTGTTATTGTGGTAGGTGCAATTTCTCTATCAGCAATTACCTAATAATATACGGCACAGTATATATATATATATATAATTACTCCGTAATTGTATTTCAAATTCCATATTGGTACAGATGATGAATTTTGATTTGATTTAGATTTTTTTCGCAAACTATCTATGCTAATTTAAGACATGTCCTGTAACCCTCCGCTAATGACAGCCAGTTTCCTGATTGCTGTCTCTGGCAGCAGTTGGAAGCTTTCCCTTGGGGCCTTGTTCGGGATGCATGGTTATGGGGCTTCATGGCAGTGTTTTTGAGTTCAATCTCGTTTTTTTTGTTTTTTCCTTTTTTTTTTCTCTGTGATCTGTTTTTCCGTCAGGTGTCCCACCGACTTTACAGGCGACCGCTGTCAAACCTCGATAATGGCCAGTTTCTACAGTACGTCTGGTTTCTTTTACTGTCTTACCCTCCCACTCCTCTGAGCCAGACAGCGTTCTTCCTCTGGGTAGTCACCCACCGTAGATGTTTTTTTTTATCCCCATCATACGTTTTGAACATGTTCAGTGCTACTAATTTTCTCCCTTCAGCCATTCTTGTTCAAGCTAAATCGTTCCGTTGCTGTAGTATGTATAAGTGTTATGGTGGCCAGAAAAGATATTTCGTATGGCAAAGCTTCTGACATCTTGTAACTTTAATTTGAAAATTAAATGTAAGTTTTACGCTTCAGTAATTTTTTTCTGCAAGGGCAATACAGTTTCCTTTTATTTCAGCGTGACATTTTCAGAGCACAAAAACATAAAATACCAGATGGAATGTGTTTTTAAAATACCTTATCTGAAGTGTCCATTTTTATCCCAAGTAACGGCCTTATTGCCCTTGCAAAAAAAAAATACTATTTTGTTTTCTGAAAATTTAAATCATATATTTCACCTGCCGGTACAGATCCACTGATGTAAATTCGAACTGCTTGAGCATTAGAAATATTCCAATCGCTAGGATAAGGGGAATTGAATTATCACAATTGGCAACCAATCTTGATTCATATGGGAAATATTAGAGTTCCAAACATCTAGCCTTGATATTATAGTATGTCCATTTTCCTCATTATAGTTACGATAATTAATTTTACCACCAAAAAATGAGTCTATGTTAGAGACTGACACCATAATAATGAGTTCCACTCTATTCAAATATGCACTATACATACATTGCTATATAATTACTAGCAAAATATTGTTTTAAGGCAAAGTCTATTGTGCATTGGCGCATAGTGACGACTTAAAAAAGATGAGCTCATGTTGAGATGTGTAACTTGGCAATGCAAGATATCAAAGCGAAGCCCAACAATTTGTTTATCGCAGAAATAATGTGTTGGGCATGTGCCAAGACTTCATACTGTGTTGTACTTTAAAGTTGTACGGCCAAATTTGACTAAATCTTTTGACAACTACGACATCGCATGTGTATGGTACATCTCCCCCCATTCGTCACTTTCAGATCATTTCACTATCTTTGTGAGGTTTCTACCGACATGTGCACAAGCATACCACATATAGAGTTTTGTGATAAATTCATTATAGATTGTATGTACAGTGCATATATGTACCAGTAGGTAAAATCAATCCTGGACCATAAATGTGTATTGCCATGTTATATATACTGTATAAATTGCATCTTTCAAATGATGTCATCTTTCATAGAAACATTATCTTTCATTTGTTTTTAAGAAGCCCATACCTTCTATCTTTTAAAAAAAATCTGTAGTTTTTTTTTTACAAATATTTTAAAATAAGCAATATCCTAACCGTTAATATAATTTGAAAAAAAAATCTATATTTTATAAAATGCTCATCAAAATGATCGAAGCAGTACATTGGCTTTCCCTTTATTTAAGGTGCTGCTTGTGTGTAAATGCTGTGGATGCTGGTTTTATGTGTACTAAGTCACTGTTTTGTTTTGGTGGTGCGTGTTGCTTTAAAATCTGTTTTTCTTAACTTCAATCAAATTCTTCCCAACATCCGTGTATTTCTCCTCCTCCAACTTCTTCATAACAAAATAATATCTATTCAAACACATGCTAAACACATTTTTTCAACAACCTTTGCTTGCCTTTTATAGTTGGAAGAGGTAGGTTTATTGAAGAGCTACACAGACATAACTTGAGCGTTATGTTTTGTAATTTGTATGCAGTATTGCAGGACATTGTTACAGAGTTCTTTAAAGTGACACATGTAAGTTGAGATAGTGTTGCTATCATACTTTTTAGAGACGAGCTCATTCTCATATGAAATCTTTAACTGCCATGGAAATTTCTATAAAAACTTATTTTTAAATTATGAATATGCAAATGTACATAATGTACGCAGTAGTCTGCTATAAGCACTACAGAAATAGGGAAATGGAGGTCCTTCAACTGTACATAATTGCGATAGAGGGAGAAAAATATATAAAGGTGTACCCCATTTAACATCCTATATTAACAAGGATTAATTTGGTTGAAAGTTTGGCTATGCTTAGAGCAGTAATTGAAATTGATTACAGATCAGAAAAGTTACCTATTAATAAACTGATGAAGCCATGCCGGGAATCACACTGAGAGAGCAACATTTATTTTATTAAGCATCCTACACCTGAACAGCGTTCATGATAGATTGGTGCACTAAAAATGGTGAGGGATGGTTATTGCCACTACTAAATATATATTAAAAGATAGGTTGCTTTAACTAAGGGGCATTTAAAAATTTATAATATTATTTACAGCGCTTGGCAAAATGAGATTTTGAAAAACATCCAAAGTAGCATATGTTACAACCCTAAAGTCACATTTAGCTAATTAAAAATATAATTTTACAACATGATTTGTTCTATTAATTTGCAAATAGCTGACCGCAGGTATATTTATTTTGCAATTACCCCATTGCCTTGGAAAATTGGACGCAAAAAAAAAACCCGTGTTATTTACACTGCGTTAATTTATTTATCCTTCAGTATTAACAAACGCACAATGTTGCGCAGTTTAAATAATACCGCGTAAAAATGTAGCCGTCACTTAAACATTCTAATGGCAACTTGCATACATAGCCTGCATTACAAGACCGCCTGAAGTGTATATTCAGGGTAATCGGCCCTGACGCTTGCAATCAGCCAGCGAGGAGTGGAGTAATTCCTCTGCACACTGGCCACCGATCTGTTGGCTTGGTAGGGACATGCTTTGCTGCCCCTTGCTTAATGGCACCAAAGTATACACTTTGAACCCTTCCTATTTCTCACGTTGATTGCCCCCATACCAAAAATATAATTGTTTTTTAATTGAGAAAAGCAAAACGAAATTCAGAAAATCGAGCATACGTTTGTTGGAGTATGTTTGTTATGTGCACTGCCGAACTGATTTTTTTATTTATGGAATATTTAATGTGCTTTTGCATGTGTTGTACATTCCATTATTCGTGTAAAAACATAAATAAGCATTATTTATATATTTGTTAACTTTAGAAAAATTTAAAAACTTGGTATATAAACTGCAGACAGCAATGAATTAAAATTGTTCATCCACCGTGGTTTAAACCTGAATTGCATTGGTGATTGAACACAATTATAGAGTGAAATTTGTCTTAATTATGGACATTTTAACAATGCTTTATTTAATTTTCAGGCAATGCTTAAATAAACGGACAGTTAAATTAAATATGAGAATAAGTTTCCACATTTTTTCTAGCAACAAAACAGATGTTAAGATGTTAAAACACAAAACTGAAACCTTTTACAAGGAATCGTGTCTGCATTAACCACAATACTTGTGGTCAGAATGCAAAAAAACAAAGGTTTCAGTTTGGTGTTTTAACATCTCAACACCTGTTTTGTTGCCAGAAAAAAAGAGTAAAACCTATTCTCATATTTTGGTACTGGCAAAGGAGGCCCCATGATGAAGTTGAATTAAATTTCGAGCCAAGTTTACAACAATGGTACTCACATTATTTGTTTGCAAAGATGGTACGCACCATGGCTTCACTAGTTGTGAACATGTCCCTGAAGTTGAATGAGCAATGTCAAACAATTGGAATTATTTCAACATTTGCATTGGAATGTGAAGCCACCATCCAATTAAATGTTGCCTCAAAGATATTGCCACCAATCCTCAGCCATATTGCAGGATTTATGTGTGATGCATCAAATGTAAGTACAATTGGCAGACTATTTCTGGGCATATAATTAAACCAGTTATAATTACAATGGTTATCTTGATGAAGGCAAATGTAAAAAATCGATAAGCTTACAAAGTGCAGTCTAATTTATGAATATTCGACAGGCTAGCTCGTCAGGTAAAGGGAGCATTCAATTAAATCTTTGGAAAATATTAAGTAACATAATTAAACCAATTTCGCGGTTAGCTTCATTAAATAGTTTAACTGCATTAAAATGTTAAACCTACTTCTAATATGTTATGTATATATACGTTTTAATAAAATTCTAATTAGAAATAACCATAGTTGGATTTTTTTTTATATATTTCATGAGATCACTTAATAATGAACACCTTCGCCAAATAAAGTACTAGTCCTACTAGAGCATGACACCCATGTGTCATTAAATGTCAATGGAGGCGAAATATATATATATGTGCTAGCCAATTCAAAGTTAGCACTGATTTTAGGCGAGATGAAATCTTAAGCAATTCCCATTATTTACATGTTACTCAAGGTGAACTAAAATATTGATAATGCAATAACCAGTTATTGACCAGAGTTTCAATGAACAAATAAAATACTTTTACTGTCAGGTCTTTTGTAGACAGTGAATAAGATAATAGAACACAAGACACTCTGTTAGTTCCTTTATGACCCTGCAGATATTTTAAGATTATTTTCATACAATTTGGGCTCTGTGAAATTCCATGTAGCAACGTTTCAGATGTATTTACACAATAGCCACCAACCTCCACGTTTAATTTCAGTGTCAATTTAACTTTAAGCAGAAATTTCTGATTTCATACACGAGTTAGTTTTAGTTTCTATTTTGACACTACATTACAATGTCACATGGTGGCAACGGTTGAGGCATCCCATTCCATGAATAAAACATTCGATTGCATGTGTGATTCTATTTGGTGCCATTGTCGTAAAGGTCGGCAATAGATTTTGATTACGTGACCTGACATGATGATCATGAAGGTTGAAAAGGATAAACATGAATTAGCGTTTAGATGATTGTTTTAGGTTTAAGCCAGATTCATCAGCAGAAAAGTAAAACATTTTAGAACATATTAACCAATGGCTGAACTCTATAGCAAACAAGTTGGAATTTGTATAAAAATGTACAACTAGCAACGAAATGGAACCAGACAGCATCTATTTAAAAGCTCGATTAAACAATATCTCACCGTTATAATGGCACAAAATGCTAACCATTCAAAAATCACGTGTAAGCGTACAACGTGTTGTTGGAATTGCAAACAAATGATCAATCATCTTAATGTTAGTTAAATCTTCACAAAAATTACTAAATATGCGTCAATTAAAGGCGACTATAATTAAACATGTATTATCTATCCATAACAGCAATGTACAGGATGGAATGTGCACCCATTGCTTTTTTTGATGCCTCATTGCTTAAAGGTCCTATTTGCATTTTCGTCACAAATGTGCACAATGGTAATTTGAATCTCTTCCCCGTAAGCTTCAGCTCAGGGGCTGCTCATTTGTTTAAGGGAATAATTTAAGATGCCAACAAGGGTCAGCGTAAATTTCCAGCCAAACACTTTTTTTTTTAGGCTGCTGCATAAAAATAGGATTTTCCCATCTATCTTGGGCACCTCAGTTGATCCAAATTATTCGCCCACTGTAGGTTGGTCAAAGGTAAATTAGAACGTATGAGCTTTACATGCTGAGTCGCACCGCGGGTTCAAACTAATCATGGCCTTGACTTGCATTGGCATTTAAAATAGACTGCATTACTGCAGTTGAAGGGCTGTAGCTGGTTAATTGCAGGACAGCGGGTGTTCCAGTGTTTTATTTAGTTTTCAAATTTTCAATCTTTACGAAGCAAAATTCACATCCTTATCTCCCTACTTTTTTTCCTACAGATCCTTAACTAACCAAGTGTTCATAAGTGCCGAGAGTGTGTTTCCCTTCAATTACTTCTGCATTTTTATCACACTGTTATCTGAAACATCTTTCTTCTGTCTCCCTTTGCTTTGTCGCCTACTTGCTGTCTCAACAGGGCACCTGGGGATTGAATTTATGGGTATGGTACTTGTGTTTTTATACAGTTTTCTAACAAATGCTCACGTGTATTGTCGCCCTAACTATGTTGATTGTCATTAATCCTGCACGGCATGACAGATGTGAAATAACAGCCATGTTTTTTTTGTAAAAACTTAATGCAAACTGAGTTTGTGCACATTTTCAGTCAATGCATTTTCACACCACTGTCACACGAAGCATGCCTTTGGTGTACATTCAGATTATATTAAATATTAATTTAATCTCATAAATTCAGACAGATTCATTATGCTAAAATATAAATGTAATAATTTGTCAAATATGTGTCATCTTCATGCACAAATTATTTAAATAAACACTTTTCTGTATTACATTACACAAACAGTTTTCAGAGATACAAAAACACAATATAATATGGTGTTAAACACAAGTAAAAATCTTGTACGAATAAATATTCATATATATTCATCGTTAATTCCTGAGAACCAAAGCAGTATTTGTTTTCAAATCTCAAGATAATAAATAATTAACGAAAACATATTGCAGCAGTTAACTTACAAACATTAAATCTAAATTCAAATTTCTGGAGACAAATGTGATATATGATAGCATAAACACTTAACAATCAAACTCAAGTACTAAAATTAATGCAGCATTGGGAATCATGATTTTAAATTGTGTGTGATGAAATGAAGATCATTTTAGAGGAACACTGCTTGTGAGAGTGTAATATTGCTCAAGTTCCTTTTTCGAAAATGATTTCTTTTCCAAATAAATGCAAACGTCAATAGATGAAATGTATACATAAATACATGTACTCTTTGGTTCTTTCGGTACAGTCACGTAGGTATAAAACATTAAATAAATTTAATGACGACGTTTCGGGTGCAACACAAATCTACATAGAAATAAATGTACTTTATGCAGAGAAACAGTAACATTTAATGCAATTTCCCTTTTAAAATGCCATTTACAATTTGTTTTCCGATATTTTTCTGCACATTTCTACCCGTTACATTTCAAATTGCCATTACATTTTAGACATTTTAATTTTGGGCACAGCTATTGCTAATGAGCATCAATTATGCAGTGCTGCTCAGAAAAAAAATCCACAAACACAACCCACATGCACACAAAGACATGAAGTGAATGGAGTTTATGCATGAATGTTATGCATGTAGAATTGAGTTTTCCATTTGCTCATGTTCATAATTTCAGCAGAGCTCTGTAATCCTTTATCGCATGGTTGCCATCCCCCATCATGCTAACAAACCCATTAAAATCTTGGCAATAATTTGATGTGACAGTATGCAGATTGCCTGCCATTGCTTTGATCATAAATTGCTTGAATTGATGTTTATGCATTTCACGGAGGCTCTCATCCTAAAGAAAATTCAATGTGTAACTTATTTTGAAAAATAAGGTTTTTCCATCTTTTCAAAGTTGTGTTTTAAGATCAAGCTGTGATTGGAATTATGTGTATAAATGCCTAGTACGTCATCATATATCTAGCCATAAATACTAAGCAGCCAAATGCAGTTTTTTTTGTTACAAATACAAACATAAACATAAAGGTTGACTCGGATATTTTGAGTTTAAAAGAAAAACTGTAATTACATAAATGTTTGTTATTGCTAAATTCAAACTTTCCAAGAGCAGTGGTGTTGATTGGAGAAGCCTTGCCTTGGCGATTACAACTCCAGATGATTGCTGTGATTAATATTATAAATAACGTACAGCTCCTTGGTCGATCCATTACCTGATGAAGGTCTTCCTACGCCATCTCAGTTGTGGGGGTTGTTTGGCCATACTTCTACTGGTCAGTCAAGGGAATGTTCGTGTCCTGGAATCAAACCGAAGATGCTGGGTTCCTAGGGCAGTATGCAAACCATTGTGCCATTGTGGCATCATCACTAGATACATAATTGCTCTCACATAATTTACTGTAGTTGCCACCTTCAGTAAAAAAAAATACACCCCAAATGATTATCGGCCCGAGATTTTTCTCTGCATTTAGCGTGAGACAAAAACAACTAAATAGATTCTTCATAAAAAAAGGTGGCATATGATTTTTTTAAAATATGTGTTATGATAAAGGTTCACAATATAACTTGAAAATATAACATAGTTGTTTTTCAAATAAATGTTTAGAGCTATAGTGCAGTGGTCAGCATGCTGCGCTGTGAACCCGGTGACCTCATTTCTATTCCCAGCCATGGCTAACATCAGGGGCGAGTTAAAATCTGATCCAGTCTTGGCCCCTTGCCCCGTTTCACCCGCCCACGGTGACCAGCGTGGGGAAGTAAAATCAAACAACCCCTAACCACTGAAATGACACGGGGTGGGGGAGGCTTTCATCTCACGGTGATCTAGCAATGAGAATACACTATTAATTATTGTTTCGTTACATCCTGTAAATAAATGCAATTAACGTAAATATAGATATCGAAGCAAGGCTGCTGACAAGAATAAATATTTCTAATCTTCCTCCACATTGTGAAGAAAACCATTTTCCAGTCACATCTTGAAACTTGACCACAAGGCTACTCAGCATCACGTTTTTTGCGGCTGCGTTTAGCCTACTGGTCGGCGCACCCTTACTTACTTTGCATGAGATCACCTGTTTAATTGCCGCAGGCGTCCGGTAATGTCTGAAGGTAACTATCAGAATGACGTAAGTGAGTTGTGTACCAAAAAGAGCAAATGTGAATTATTCTTTGACATCATTCGCACGAGCAGGGCAAGCTTGTGCCAGTGCCCTTAACTAAGTCTAATGTAATCAAATCATCCTTCAATACATTTGCCAAATAAGGCCCGGGCCAGTGTGGAAGAGAGGCCAAAATGCCCTCAAGAGGGACTCTCTTGAGCTTCCTATAGCGTAGGCCCTTCCGCCAGCAATGGCAGAAGGGCCTACACCTTCGCCTTTTTAATTAATAACCCTCTTTAATAAACATAATTTAATACCAGTTATCAGGTGTCTCTTGCGAAAGAGACGATGAGAATCATGGGCTTTCGCCCCGTTAAAAAAAATAACAATTAACTGAGTTTCATATGAGAGTCCCAATGACAATTGGCACACGCAAACAAAAATATCCCCTGCAAAGTCAGACTGTTGTGGCAAGTGCGATTAGCGAGCGCTTATGAAGGCCGGCACGGCACAGTAAAGTGAGTGGCGTGGCCAGCGCTATGCCTAGCCGCCTTTGTCTCCCCGGATAAAAAAAACGCAGGCAGACAATTCTAGATTTGAAGCTTTCGTGACTGCAAGGATTCATATTCTTAGGTTTTTTCGGTAAAGTCACGTAGGTAAAACATCAAAATTAATAAAAATAAAATAAAAATCACGACGTTTCGGAGGCAACACAACTCGAGGAAATCCTGATTCGCAAACGTGAGCTCATTGCGCGTGTGCTGGTTTTGCTAATTAATGGCTTGTGTTGGTGTGCGGTCTGTGTTGGGGCGTGGGCACAGAAGCGGAGGAGCTGTATCAGAAGCGGGTGTTGACCATCACAGGGATCTGCATTGCTCTGCTCGTAGTTGGCATCATGTGTGTTGTTGCCTACTGCAAAACCAAGTAGGTGTTGATTTCAAAGTCGTCTTGTATTTCGTATCTGCACCTCCGATTAGCACGGTTGGCTACGTACTGTGCGAAAGAAGTTTGGCACACATGCATACATACCTATTGCGGCCACGTGTTGCTTAAAATAATCATTAATATTTTTGGTTTTTTCGGTAAAGTCACGTAGAAGGGAAATAAAAAGATAATATAAATATTAATTTATGTATTTGCATTATTAAAAAAAATTCCTAAATATTTATTTATATATCTATATTATTTTATTATTTCCCTTCTACGTGACTTTACCGAAAAAAAACAAGAATATGAATCCCTGCAATAACAAAAGCTTTAAATAAAAATGTAATCATTAATGTTAAACGTTTGAGATTAATGTGCAAATTATTTACCTAATTTAATCCAACTGCGCATTCGCCACCGTTGCGTTTTTAAACGAAGAATCCGTTTGGAAATCTCAGCATTCAACATGTCTGAAAATGGTGTGTGTGCAGGTGTGACTTTTCACAGGGTTTTTCAAAAGCATTCAAGTGGCCTTTTCATACTTGTTACAGTAGGAAGCACACGTTCCCATAAACGTTGCTGTTAGATTGTTACTTGGCAATCAAATGTTTCAGAATATTTTTTTAATTCAAGTACAAAGTTCAACGTAATATGCAATCGTTGGAGGCTGGGATGAGACAATTAACTTATTGCACTTAATTGTAGTTGGATGGTCATATTTGAACCCAGGATCTTAGTGGTGGCAGTGCATCGCTCTGATAACCGAGCCACCCCTCTCACCTGCATTTGCTTATTCTCCTTTAAAGGATGAGTCACTTAAAAATGTGCGAAATCGCGGAAGCATTTCAATCTCAGTCTTTCCAGCCAAGTAATTTAATTAATGCCAAACATTTACATGGAACGTTTACAGTTATATTATTAATGTTATTGAGGCTGGCCAATGGTGAAAACTAGGGACCAATAGGCTAGAGGAACATCACGTTAATCCGTGTATAATATTGTGTTCATGAGAGGGCCCTTGTCCAATATGTCATGTAAAAAGTATAACTTTAAAAAACTTTCATCATAAATGATGAAAGTGCAAAGCAGGCATGCATATCTTCTGAAGAGTTCGTGGGTGAGGATTTTAGAATTGCCATTAAAAGCTGAACTGTTTGAGTACTTTCAAAAAGAGCACAATCGTTACTTTAATGTTTAATAAGTGGGAAAATATTCCTGTCCCTGAAAATGTTTAAATAGTTGTTTAAAGGATAGATTATTGTCAAAACGTAGTATGGTATGGCATATCAGAATCTTTATTTCTAAGAGCTATATAAGGATTAAAAGGATATTTTTTTTAAATATAATTAAGCCATTTTATGAAAGGGATGAAAATAATTTTTCAGAAATAAAAATGCTAGTAACATTGAGGCTGATATTAAACATTTTCAGGATGGTAATATACTTGAAACGCATTATTCAAGATTACACTGTGACTTTTTGTTATCTAAAAATAACGAATCCACCCCTAGCATAAGCACAACCAACAACTTTACACTCAACATTCGATTATATTGTAAATAAGTCAATGTTATTAACTTCATTGTAGAAAGCAGAGACAAAGGCTGCAGAACCGGCTGAGACATGGAATGCATGGAATGAATGCCAATCCACCAAACGGGCCCCACAATCAGCCACACCCACCACCAAGTCCAGCACCAGCTCCCGACAACAGTATTCAACTCCGGAATGTAAGTATTCCAAATGCATGCACATGTCCCAAACGCACGCACGCGCACGCACGCGCACGTTAGCCAAGACAATATTTTATTCCGACATCAGATAATGCTGCTTTGCTATGCAGTGCATGTTGCAATAGTGTGCTTGCATACGCACGTTTGCCAGATGTAGTAATTGCCTACCACCAGCCCTGAATACCAACAAGCGTTGCATGTTACATGGCCATACACGTAGAATTTTAACTGACCTAGTACACTGCAGCTGTCAGTAAACACTCCCCTTGTGATAAGTGCAGTAACACTAAATCAGCCATCTACGTTTGAATTCATAGCCATGTCTGACCACGGCATTAACATTCATTACTCAATTTTGGTTTTTTTACCCTCGGCAAAAACGTGTCTGTCGCATCTATAAATACCAAATCGGTTCTGCCTTTTTAACAAAATAAGCAGTGATAGCAAATGCTCATACACTGCCGGTTGTGTCAATGCATTGCTCATGTGATGAATGTTGTGCCTCTTTATTTAATTATCAAATGTGAACCAAGGGCACCTCAATGTTAGATTGCCATGATTATGATTACCCTTCGGGATATTTTTTTATTTGTTATATATATAAAGAACAAACTTTTGTCAAAATATATTCCGATTTATTTTTTAACCTCAATATAACGGCTGTAGTGGAAGCTGTTGCTGCTGCTCCTGCTGCTGCTGTGTAATGGGCCAGCACGCTGGAGTTGCCATCCAGAGGTCGCCGGTTCGATTCAATCTCCCAACGATGCCCGGCAGTTGAAACAATGGGACGAGTTGCTCAGATAACCTCTCCACCAAAGTTCATTGATTGGCACGTCTTGCATGGTGGGTTAAAGTGTGGGTACTCCCACCCCAACTTTGGCCATGTTTATTTGTTTGTTGAAGTACGAAGTTAGACTGATGGCCTTAATCGAAGTTGTCTTGTGGTTGTTGTTGTTGTTGTTGTTTGACTTGCATCCCACTGTGATTTTTGCACACAGCGTTGGTGTACGGTGCTTTTTCTGGAATATTTTGCTGTCTTTTCCTGGATTTTCTGTTTGCACATAGTCACATAGTCACTTTAAGATGTTTTCTTGTTCATGTTTTAGTTTTTTGTTTGTTGCGATTGCACCCTATTCAAGAGCCGAATGGCTCACAGAGATATACCAAATAAATGAAACTGAAACCTCTCCCTTCAGTGTGCCCGGTCAGTGTGGAAGAACAAGCCAAAATATGCTCGCTATACTCGTTGGTTCTTTCAGTAAAGTCACGTAGGTAGAATTAAAATAAATTAAATCACGACGTTTCGATCGCAACACAAGCGACCGTCATCAGTTAGAACCGATACAGCAGGACAACTGCTGATTTAGGAGAAAGATCTGCTAACAACAAGAGCTCATGGTGGGCTCAACCCCAGGGGTTGGTAAAGTCACGTAGGTATAAAATAGAATAAATTGAATCACGACGTTTCGGGCGCAACACAAGCGTCCGTCATCAGGTGGGACAACCACAGCAAGAAACAATTGGTCGCTCTCGATGGCTTTTCTGCAGCTCCCTATGGTGGAGACCCTTCCGGTAACAGCTGCGTGAGCAAGCAGTTGCACGGCTCCACCTTTATTTTAGTTATTTTTTTTACTGAAAATAATTGTTCTCATTTATAATCGTATACAATGACCATGTCCCCTAGTGTTCATCACGAATCTTGGCCACTTGAGAAAAGGCATCGTTAGCAGGTAGCACTGTTTGTCAATGCACCTCCCTTTTGTGAATATTTAGAGTCGGGCATTTTAAAAAGTATATAATTCAAGTTTGATTTCTTTATTGACTATAAATGATTCGAATCAGTTTCAAGGGATGCTAATCAATCATATTATATGGCTGTGGATCACATTTCCTTTGCAGTTTTAAAGTACCTCATCAGTTACAATCAACGTGATTAGCATGGTATAAATTGGAGCAATTTAAATTGATTATAATAGTTTGGAAGAGATTAAAATAATTTGGAGTCAATGCAGAGCAGACATTTCAAACCATGTTTTAATTAATATTGAGCCGTTATACTGTGTAAGTAAGCAGCATGCCTCGTGCATTTGAGCAATCACGTTTAATGCTGGGGACAGTGAATCTCATACATTTGAATTAATCCCATTGCGAGAGCATCGTTCTCTCTGCGCGACCGATTCAACATAAATTCGGTGCACATAATACAGTTTTGCAATGACCGATGTCGAACCAATTCAGGCGCACAAAATGAATTATTGTATTCATTAATGTGTAAAAAAGAAAGCGTCGTCGGATGGATTCACAGTTGGGGTAATTTCCCATTCTGGCTCAGATGAACTCTGCAACGTGATTATTTATGCATATTCATTAGCACAGATATATTATACACATTTTAAAATGTACTGGAACAAAATGTGATATGGCGAAGCTCCCCCAATGTTCGTTGTCTGAGGTCTGGTCTTTACAACAGTTCTATAATTGACTTCGCATTACTAAGTCAAATTTCTAATGAGATCATCTTGCATTAATGCAGTCTTTCTCTTGCTCCTGCGTATGGCTGAATGAATAGCAACTTAAACAAGTCTCAGTGACCTTTACAGATGCCTCAACAGGATCAGGGTGGTAGAGAAAGAAGGAAAAGGTTGTTTTCGTTAGAATAAGACCGGCGAGGAGAATAAGGTTGGTCTTATATGTGTCATAAATCCCACCAGAAAGTTCCACGCAGAACACTTTTGTGTCGCAAAAAAAGGCCAAATATGATGCTCTTGGCACAAAGCAAACCTAGTGATGCCCAATTAAGCTGACACCCCCCCCCCCCTACTGCCACTACCAATGGGTTTACACCTACACAGCTGGGGACAGGAAAAAATTGTCGTTTTTATCATCCTGGCTTAACACTAGCATTTGTATTTGAGTCACTGCGTATGTATATTTGTTGCACTTGTTTTGCACTGAACGTAGCCAACCGTGCTAATCAGAGGTGCTAACCGGAGGTGCGACGGAAGGACAACAAACTGCATTTTAAAAAGCAGTTCTAAAGGACAGAGGAAAGATTTGTAGCCCCCTCGCCCCGTAGGAGGCATTAAATGCAACCCATGCATACCTTGTATGCCTTATCATTGATCCAGTTATGAAATGCTACAATTTTTCTAAGTCTCAATTAGAATCGTTTTTGGCATACCCAGACAATAGTTTTTGTTGTATATACAGGTGTAGTGTAAAGCCCTTTTTTATCAATCCACTGCTGGATGAGGCCCTCTCCACGCTAGTTTGGTCATGGGGGTTATTTGACCATTCTTCACCATGCTGCTCAGCCTGGGTTCGTGAAGGCAGGAAACATAGATGTAGGATCATAGTATAGTGCAACAGCGGATTTTGCTGCATTGCCCTTCATCAAAAACGCAGCATTCCTTCCCGTATATAAGCTCCATTATAATTGAGAGTTTCTGCATTTCCTACTTACACTGTTGAGCTGCAATGAGAATGGTGGGTGGTTTTTTTTCTCTCTCAATCCGAAATGTTTTTAGTGCCTGTGTGTAGCAATTGCCGCTTTAATCTTAAAAGTGACACATTACACCTAAGATGGATTATCTTGCTGGCTAAGCCATTGCCCAAGATTACAGTTTCAAAGAATGCATTACTCTGTGTGTGTATATGTGCTGGCACATATAACGTGAATTTGTAGTGGTGACACTTCGTCATTTTGATCCTCAGCGTTGCAGCCAACCCCATTTAAAATAGGGGGCAAGCCTTGCAAGCCTCACAGGTTAACTTTAAGTGAGTGGGTTGGATACTTGTCGGGCAAAGTCATCTGTGGATGAGCATAAAGCAACGAGCTGAACGATGTAACTCATCGGATGATCCGTGCTGATTTAAATTCCCCTTTGGGACTAAAAAAACACCTCGTTATTGCGGAATGCGTAAACGGCCACTCCATTGTTGTTCCATCATGCGGCAGGTTTTGTTTGCATTCACTGTATCCTATCGGGTGAATCTCATGGAGGTTATTGAAGTTTTAATATGGGACCGAGCAAAGTGGCAACAACCTCATACTGATCATATTTTACTATTCCTCACAGTGGAATAAGTCCATCGTTGTAAGTCACGATCATAAAACGTAAAGTGCAGAGTCTGCCTCTGCATGTTCTTTCGACATCGCATTACAAACAATAACTCTTACAGCAAAATGCAGCCGCTTTGTCAGTCCACTGCCAGTATGAAGCCCTCCCCACGCCGCGCTCTTCACGGGGGGTTGTTTGACCCACACTTCAATGTTTCGGGGCGATTACGGGTCGATATCTGGCATGGGGGACAGGGTGCAGGGACCACTTTAGATGTCGCTCATCGCTGATGTTAGCGATGGCTCCAGGTAACCGATGTCACCGCACCATCGCCCGAACTACGGCACCACCCATTGGCCCTCCGCTTGAATACATTGTAGGAATAAATGAACGAGTATTGAGTGAAACTGATGTACGGTATTAAGTTAAGTAGTTAACTTGAGGTAGTGCGGTGGCAGAGTAATTAGCACACTGTGTTATCTGCCTGATCATCTGAATGTTATTTTGACCGTGTTTGATGTCAGTGGCGAGTGATAGCTGAACCAGTCGTGGGCCCATTCACCGATCCACACTGACCAGCGCGGTGAAATATCGTCAAACAATGGTCACGACTGGTTCAGCATGGGGAGATTTCATCAAGCGGTGGACTAACATAGGTCTGTAAAACTTATTGGTGATTCTTCTTGGTTCTTTCGGTAAAGTCACGTAGAAGGGAAATAATAAAATAATAAAAATAAAACACAATACAGTAAAATAATTCTCACGACGTTTCGGCCACAACGCAAGCAGCCGTCCTCAGGTGAAGAACAGGTCTGTCGGAAAGACAGCGTCATTCAAACGTCGTGAGAATAATTTTGTTTTATTTTTATTATTTTATTATTTCCCTTCTACGTGACTTTACCGAAAGAACCAAGAAGATGAATCCCTGTAGTCACGAAAGCTTTAAATCGAAATTATTGGTGATTATTTAGTAATTTACTTAGCGTGGTCATTTAAAAAAAAACACTGGAGCTATGCACTTTCAAATCTAGATTGAAAACGAATTTCCTTAGAACGGATTTTTGTGTTTAGTTTGTTGTCCTTCCCCCACACCTCCGATTAGAACGGTTGCCTACGTGCAGTGTGAAAGAAGTTCAACGTACATACACGCATACGCGCATCTATTTCAAGCATTGCATACGTAGATGTTGCCTTGTACAACATTCATTCGCTTCCACCCACTCTCTTGCAAAAGGCTTGCAAATCCCAGCTGCAATCCCCTCCACCTCCGCAGTGATTCATTTGAAAGAGCCAAACTGCTGAAACATGTCATTAACCAATCCCTGCTTGTCATTTGTTGTCGCAGAGAGAGGGATGGGGTGGGGGGCAATGTTCGTTTGCCAAATGAATTTGGGACCATTGATGTCGAGTCAATAATTGAGCTCACCTCGCAACGTTCCCCGTGGACACTTGTCCTGAAGGCCCCTTTTTTTAAACATTTGATGAACATTCGCATGGTCTCACGCATACACTAACCGCCGCTTGCCCCGCAGCCTCGGAACAAATGATGTGGAGTTCCCAAAGTGAATGGGTGATTGTGGTGCAATCGTTAAGAAAACATGGCGGGATTACTGGAGTACATCATTTTAATTAAATGTGGTATATTTACACACGAGAGCTGTGGTTTCCAAGCAGTCTACTGTTATTTGTATGTCAATGCGTAAACACAAATGTCACGTTTATTCGGCACAATTTTATCAGCGGTCCGACACATGAAACAATCACACGCAATGTGTGAATCACTCGTGACATTTGATGAAGCATTGGTGGCACCTAATCTCTCTCAGCAGATCGTGGTATGTAAATAGTAAACAATTGCACACGTAAGCGCCAAGATGAATAAGCGTCATAATTCTCTCAAACTTCGTGGTGCATTTTGCATCTGAACCGTGAATGCTCGCTTGACGATTTTGCATTCCACAGTGCTGTCAAAAGTTCGACCAACTTTTAGTTTTAATGACCCGCTGAATGCACAGATGAAGTAATATGATGACAAAGTACCTTTGAGCTGGGATAACATGCATGATTAATGTAACCCATGGCCACCCCGTGCTGGGATGTACACCGCGCTGCTTAAAAGTGTAGCGACACTACAAAAGTGTGATGATTCCAACACGAGCAATGAATATTAATTCCCACTGAATAGCTTTGTCACATTTAGCCGATCGACATTTTTTTGCGTGCGGTGGAGTAAAGTGTGGATACTACCACCTCGTGCAAGATGTCTGGCCAGCGAGAAAGAATAGGCCCTCTCTTCAACTCGCCGTTCCTCCAGCACCGTCGTAAGCAAGTCATTGCAAGGGCTGCACGTTTATTCGTACGGTTATTTCTAACAAGCTCTCACGACAGACAGACATTCGCGTGCAATGTCCCCACGTCCGATTGTCTCAAGTGCCACGTGTTTATGTTTGGCGCAGTACATTCAGAAGAACCCGGGTCCGCCTGAGAACAGGACGGAGCAGGAGACAGATTGCTCTTTCTCCACCAGCCACCACTCCACCACTCCCACCATGTCACCCAGACACAACTGCCGGTGAGTTCTGCTGCCCTGCTGCCTGACTCCTTGTTTTGTCCGTGATAGCTGGAGCCGCCTGCCAATCTCACTGCACTGCCTTGCTTAGCACGTGACTGCTGCTGCTGCTGTTGCTGCTCAGATTGTATGTCATCCCTCGGGTATTTTATTGTGTTTACTAACCTTTCTTCTTGCTGTAATATGTCGTCGTGTCTGTGTGTTAAAAGTCCAGGGAATGTTGGCCTAAGTGCTTGTGGATGTTGTAAGATACATGATTGTGTCATGTATGTAATCATTCTCCTTTAAAAATTAGGGCCTGAAATGGAGAAAAAACTGTACTTGACCATCTTCGACTAACCCATATCACAGTCGCTACCAGCCTCACTGAGATTAATTTCCAGAGGAATGTGCAAAGTGCTCATTTGATTCCGCTGTTCGTGTTATATGTCAATTTCCATTGAAATGTATCGATAGCAGTTAAATCGATAATGCTGGAATTTCAGTAATAGCAACTATATCACTAATGGTCAAATTGTTACATGTGTATGCATGTACATATATGATTATGCATTTGTATGGAGGAAATTAAACGTGAATTTAACTTGTGAGCCACATTTCAGAAGACATTTCTTAGAGCAAAGAGCTTTGTTAGATATCTATTTCAGATGATGTGGCTGATTTGTAATATTCATTCTTTGTTCGAAAACATTATGGAATGCATTTTCATTCAAATGCATTACTTTTGAAAATCATTACATAAAGGTCAAACGTTTCCTCTTTCTGTGTTTGATAACGATTGCTAATTCAACATTAAATCATTTAAATTTGATAGCATTTTCTCATTGCGCGTTCCGTTTGAAATGTAAAATTCTCGTAGCTGTCTGTCATACTCGACGAGGGAAAAATTACGAGGTTTTTTTTGTAAGCATTATATAAGTGGTAAGGTGGCTAAGATGTCCTGCGCTGGCACGGTGGAAATCCTCGGTTCGAATCCAGGCAGCCTTTTCATCAACGCATCTTCAAGACTGGCATTACATTAAACTAGGGTTTGCACTTAATATGACAAATTTCCAGTTCTAAGAATTAAAAAAAATACTTTGGTTTGACTGTCACGTGACGCGCATTACTCTGGAGCAGGGTGGCTGAGAAAGTGCTGACCTCTAGTACGGATAAAAAGGTACTTCAGGGCAATGGTTCTTGACCTTTACTGCAGCCTTGCACCCCTTTGGTTCTCAATCGTAAACAAATGTATGTTCATTAATACATAAGTTTGATGAAACAAAGTATTTGTACTTACGTGTCGGAGCTTAATTTGTGTTTCGATGATTTACCTTCTAAAAAAGTCTGGCCATGTCTCGCACGCCGAGAAAGAGCATCTCGCACCCCCAGGGAGTGCAGTGTGCACCCCAGGTTAAGAAGAAGAACCGCTGCTTTAAGGGATCTCAAAAAGAGTGCTGTGATATTTTCTTCCACGGACATTTCAGTAACATGGGGTCATTGCACCGCTCTGTGAGACTTCCCAATGGATTATTCATCTTAGGGCATGGTTCCTATAGGATGATGAGGATACAGTGAGAAAAAGGCATGCATATACAGGTATTACATTTTATTTTTTAACAATACTTTTTTAAAATACAGAAAAAAATCTATTTTGCAATTTACCTAGAGTCTAGCCCGATAATAACAAGATTTGATTCTTTTACAAACTCACGTTGTGTCAATTTAGCATGTAGCAGTGTTGGCAGTCTATCTCGACACTTGGAATATATTAAGCGAGGAGACAACGGCATAACATCAACATTCCTACAACAATAATTTCATCATTTTCACCAGACGATTTTCAAGTGCTCACCAAAGCATGGCAATTGTAGAATGCTTTAAAGAACGTGGTATGCGGGCAGTGCTTATGTTGCTACGCAACCATTTTCCCACAAGTCTTGATCTAAATTTAAATGCGATGCAATTACAGCTGAATTACCATCATCTTATTTTAAGCTTGTCTAAATCACAATTAGCTCAGTGGCATGTGATATTTTATTGCGATCACATAATAGCACAGAGGCGACCTCTCAGATGGCTCGAGAATAAAGTTCAGTTATGAAAATAACAGACACACAGAAGTTCACGCGTGCACATCTGTCAGCGTGCAAACGACATCCATGCTAACCTTTGTCCCGGCGAGGATTGATTGGAACTCATTCCCGCTGTAGTGGCTGTAAATGGATCTGGTGTGCCGACGTGTTTCACAGTCTTGGCTCGCTCGCCCGTAGACAATTGCCTGCAGAAGAAAAATGTCCCACAAAATGGAGATATTGGCAGTTGGCTTTACTAAGCAATGGGAGGGAAGGGGAAGGGGGGGACAGCATGGCGACAATCACTGGCTTTCTTAGCACACAAGAGGCACCGTTTGGGAAAACCTTGAGCCCTCCCTGTACCAATGTGATGGTTAAATTTTATGCTTCGAGCGTAAGGATCCCACAATTTATGAAGACAAGCGAGATGTAGTAATGTGTACAGAGTAAAAAAAGTAAAGTGCGCAGCCTGGTATTTCTGGCCCACCCCGCTTTTTGGCAGAATGGTCTCAACGAGAGGGAGCTATAAACGCCGCCCCCGCCACCCCCACCAGAGGGTATTTGGCCTACTCTTCCACGCTGGTTAAATGTCTTGGAAGAGATGACGTTACTTGGTGACACATTTATGGGATGGAGTGGCACCACAGTGGTTAGAGCACTGAGCTCTGACCCCGGCGGCCTGAAATTAAATTCCCGGCCACAGCTAACGAACATCTGAATCGGTCCTGGGCCTACTCGTTATCAACGGGCGTGATTGAAATACGAATCGCGTAAACCCCACATGACTGACGCGGTGTGGTGATGCCTTCATCTAGCATTGGAGTGACAAACGGGGCACCAAATTATAATGATACCAATGCAAGCATGCCTTTAAAGCGGATAGGCTGTTCCCGGGGGAAGGGAGGGGGGGGATAGAGGGGGCTTCTTTTTGTTTTGCTTACCTGTCGTGCGGGTTAACTCTTGACTCAAGCAACAATCTTGCATTTCAATTAGGCAAGTAGCAAGCCCCACTGGGTGGCCCCGGACGTCCACTGGGTGATGCACCCCGTGATTGGATGTATGGGGTCTTTTTTTCGGGTGTGTTCTCCATGTGAGGTGCGTGCAAGACGCGTAATTGAATTATTAATAGGCTGCCATGCAAATCACGGTGAATGGTGCAAGAAAGCCATCAATTATTCCATTCGTTGTAATAATAAGAGTTCGTTATTTCATTCAATTATAACCGCAATCAATTTATAATAGTTCTTTTTCCGCATCACCAGAAATGTAACCAACTAGGGATTAGAAATTCATTTGCGCGGTGATTTTTTTCTTTTCCCACAGTATCTAGTTAACACCGCAAGCAATCCTGATGGGTATGTTAAGTGACTCCTCAAAATGTATTAATATTATCTAATATTGCTGTTTTGCTCACATCATCAAAAGAGGATTTAAAAAAAATCAGTGCTTATAAAAAGCTGTCATCTTTTAACAATTATAGCGGTCCGTTGCGTTTCTGGGTTGTACCACACGTAGTTCAGCAAATCCATCACCCGTGGAAGCTGCCAGCATTTGGAGCAAAACGACAGACAGAACCGCCTTTATTTCCTGCCGGCGCTCGCCACACTTGGATGCGAAATGTTGGACATCGTGCCAAAGGAACGCGCAGCACAACCCGAAAAATATCTATCAGAGAGCTGTACAACTGGGGAAATCTACGCCAGTGTATCGTTCAATAGCCATCTTTGTCTGCGGTGGCTTTTGAGGTCTGCAACAGTGGTGTATGACAAATGGGAAAGTCCACGAGGCCCTTGTAAGACCTTCAAACCATTTCCCGACTAAGCATTACTCTCTCAGAGCACAGCTGGTGCCTCTGCAGTCTGTGTTAAGTGAATAAGTAATGCTGGAGTCGTACAAGCAAGCCCATTAGGATGGCTGCTTGCAGAAACGATGCCCCATATGTTGTATCCTCTTTGGCGGTGCTGCTGCTGCTGCAAATATGTACGTCAAATACTACAAGTGCTGGGCCAGCGGCTGCTAGTTCTCACAAAGAGCAAGTGACCCTTGACCTGGGTCGTTTGCTTAATAACTCGTCAAAAAACAACAACTGGCCTACTGGTCTCTTGCACTCACATGTATGAGTAAAGATCCATTTTGTAGAGCCTTAGAGTATGCTCATTAAAAGAAAACATAGCAATTGCACAATAGATAGTTGTTTACTGACACTTATTCTCTGCTGCCTGCAGTGTACATAACATTGTTACGAATTGGTTGATAATTGTTTTTTTAACATCACTTACAGCCCTTTGTCATTCCCCTGCTGGATTAAGGTTTCCCTGCGCTGTCAGTTATGAGCATCGTTTGACCATACCTCAACGTGTGGTTCATATAGACTGGTGAATGGGGAGGTGGATACACACGCCTGCTTCAGATATCACCCACCAATGACGTAAGCTAAGGCTGGGAATCAAACTCAGAGCTCATGGTTTCTAGGGCAGAGTGCTCACCATTGCTCCACCCCCACAAGGGAGTAACTTTATAATTTTGAAAAAGCTATTATGACAAATAATTGCTTTTTTACAAGAAAAGCATGTATTATTACAAACGAAATTATTGCAAGAGAGAAAAACTGCAAATGTGCTTCTGTTACCGTTATTTGACAGTGGTTTCTGGGGGATTTAGAGTTTTTCATTGAGATATTCTACAGGTGTACAGAAGGGATCTTTATAAATCTTACAGCAACTTGAGGTTCCGCTACGTTTTGATGATTTATAAATCCAGTTTAACACGAATTAGGCTTTCACGACCAATCTCATCCATAATACAGTTTTTTTTGGGTTAGATCGCGTAAATATATAAATATGTCGTTAAACCTTCCACCACCCGACACAGCCAATTAGTAAGGTTTGTCACGTAAACAGAATGTGGCCAATTCGTTACGAGTACAGCACACCGGTTTGTTGGAGAGCCAAGTCACAACATTTACAGATTTGGCCTGATGAAGCTGGTTGTAATTACTGGCGAAACGTCGTACTCAGATTGTAAATGTTGTGGCCTGGCTCTCCAACACACTGGTGTGCTGTACTAGTGACGAATTAGCCACGTTCTGTTTACGTGACAACCCTTACTAGTTGGCTGTGTCGGGTGGTGGTGGGTTTAACGACACATTTATATATTTACGCGATCTAACCCAAAAAAACCCTGCATTATGGATGACATATAAATCCACATTTTATTGCATTACAGCATCAAAATGGATATATTTGATATTGTCTCATCATTTCCCATGTAGTCAAACACATTAGAGTCAGGACTCAGAGTACGCGGACTCAGAGTACGTGGACCGGCTCATCCGCAACCGACCCCGATTCACACTCACGCGAATATTCAAATCCTCCCACCCCGCCATCACGCGCACGTGGGTTTAAGGACGTGTAACCGTGTCGCCTGCGCAAGAAACTATTTCAAAAGCATCTCTCGTGTTCTAATCTAGTGTTAAAAATCTATACTGTTGATAATAATCTAGTGAATAATTTACTGTACAGTTCTGTACAATATTAAACATTTACGTACGTTCATATACATTTGATATTTACTCTTCCATTTTATATCTACACTCGTGTAGTAATATAGTAGTGTCTAGTAGTTTATCGTAATATAGTAGTGCGTAGTAGTGCATAGTAGTATATAGTAGTGCATAGTAGTATAGAGTAGAATATAGTAACATAGTAGTGTATAGTCCACTCGTATAGGCGAACCCCAACTTACGCGAATTCGCGCTAAGGTGGAGCTACACAAAACCTAACCCATCGTGCACGTTCTGAGACCTTCCTGTAACTAAAATGCATGTCATAATGCTTTATTTACTTGTGTTTCATGTTGTGAACCCAACAAATTGAGCAACGTGTTCAAATACATACAGACATACGTATGCTTAGAAAGAAATATATACATTTGGAAATTAATCTACGTGTACAAATTTGTTTGGCATTTAAGAGACCAAGCTCATACCTGTAAAGCAATCGGTGTGCGGACTATGTACGAAAACATATTTCATTACCCGCATCAATAGCCGCCTTTGTAGCAGAGGCCTGGTCAATTTTTGACCACGGAGAACAAAAAAATGACCAAATTAAACATAGTTTTTAAATGGGATTGTAAAGTGATATGGACAGACACGCATTCAATACTCTCACGTATGATTGAGTGCAAGTCGACTCATTGCCACAATGGTACGTGCACGACAGGTTTGTCAGCGTGTGCAATTTACATGCTTTGGCACGGCTCTAAGCAACTTGGTCATATATCATTGTTAAACCCTTGATGCATGTGTGGCATTCTGTATATTTTTTCTCTAGGTAAAAATCTACAATTGCTTATTTACATAAATTCCAGATAGAAAACACTTGTTTTGGATTAAACAAGTTCATATAAACATGAACTCAAAATTTTACAGCCAACTTTAAACGCAACAAAAGCGATTCTGCTTAATTCACGAAGCAGATTTGGAGCGAATTGTTCCATACGGAAATGTGTGGAGCCCTATTCCACGCAAATAAAACATCCGACAGCCAATCAGTGGGACGGAGTGCTGATGTCACTTTGCTTGCCCAACTAACAGAGACCAAGCCAACCAATCATTGTCATATCCCTGTGCGTGTGAGTCTTCATCTCAGCATTTTATTTTTTAAAAATTGAGCACAAGAATATATTCCCTAAGGTATATGTGCATTGCATAATGGAGATGCCAAACAAGCACGTGCATTTTTGCGTAATGAACTTCCATGCCCTCTCAGCTACACAAGTTGTGCCTTCAAACTGTGATTGATGCGATCCCTACTCAAGGTTTTCCAAATTTGGTAGAGAGTTACCACCATTTTTGGCTCCCCCTTACCCCACCCACTTTTGCCCATTCTGCAATTGTGGCATGAGAAGTGGTGGAATTTATATTTTCTTGTTGAGAATTGCTGACACGAGTCACAAAATGCTGGGTTTTTTCCTATGTTTTTTATGGGAACGGCCATCAGTATGCCAAAAAAAGTGACATTATGGAAATGGGAATCAGTTTTTAGGTCTCTTTTGTGCTGTTGTCCTCTGTAAAATTGCCAACCAGTGCCACGGTCTCACGCTTCATTCAAATGTCAATATTATGTTTGTGATGGGTTACAAAATTAATTCCGAGCAGAATGTAAAATGGTGAAATAATCCCAGGACATATTGGCTCTTACAATAAGTTGTCAAGCAACTCATGCATAATTGTCTTCATTATTATTTTCACGTATCATTTACAACCATTTGCACTTCAGTATGTAATTTTCATTAGTATATTATATTTTCATCTATGAATGCAGTTTTCGTATGTTCCATGCCCACGTTCCTTTAGTGTCCACCGTACACTGTGGAAATATAAATAAAGCTTTATATTCTTTGTCGCCGCTAAAACCTCTTTTCATTATTTTAGAGACCAGCGCACACTCGTCTCTTGTCCAATGGACTATACATGCTCTTCCGAGCTTTACGGAATTTATTGTGAAATTGTGAGCACCTTGGCAAATGGGTAATTTTCCTTCACTTGTCTTCACTCATAATGAATGAAATATGACCAAATCAACTGGAATGTGCCCAATCTCATGAGATCTCAGAAGCTGAGGAGAGTTTGAGCCTAGATAATGCTCGGATGGGTGGCCACGGTGTCCAAAAGGCAGACACAATAGGCGCTGTGAGCAGTAGTTGCAGCAAATTGTATTGTTGTTCTGCACTCCATATCGCCTTCAACATCCCATGCTGACCAGCGTGGTCAAGTATGGTATCATTTATTTTACGGCCCACAATGTGTGGGGAGGCCCTCCATACAGCAATGGATTGGCGAAATAGACTATCTTTAAACACAGGTAATATGAATTACCATTACGGTACTTTATTGTAAATAGGACATTCTAGTTAAATGTCATTAAAAAATAATTAGTCAACATTTCGGCTTGTTAGCAACATTTATTTGATTTAGTTGAGTTATGTAAACACTTATTTGCATCTATGGGGACCTTTCCCAAATTAATTTAAGTGAGTATTGAGAGTAGTGGTATTTTAATTCCCTCTTATTCTCGGGAGACAAAAAGAAAAGACTGTAAAACTTATTCTCGTTTCTCCAGCTTTGTAAAGTTAGGATGAACCCACACAGCCTGTTCATTTTATTATTGATGAACTCTCATTAGCAGACACATTTCAGAACCACTTCAACCACTGCCTCCTCCGCCTGCTTTCCATCCCTCCATGCATCAACCCTCCATTCCGTCCTCCCACCAATCACCAAATATTCACCTGCCTCTATTCCACCCACCCCCCCCCCCCCCCCCTAGGCAATGCTGGGGCTCGGGCCATTCGGAAGGGAGCGTTACCACGGAGACGCGATCTGGAGCGCTCACTTCCACCGCACCGTCGTCACGGGAGACGAGCCAGAGAGCCAATCAGGTGGCTGCGGCGGCTGCTGCTGCTGCGGCGGCGGCGGCAAGAGGGCGACTCAATGCTGCCGGAGGCCCATGCGACACGCCGAGCCGCCACCCTGCCCATGACTACCCCGACTCGCCGCTTAGCGACCGGTGAGGGCCCAGTTCCGCTGAGCCTTTTGGCGCAGAGCTTACCAGTTGCGCGTGATTTTTGGCTTGAAAGCTGCGCGTGCTAACAGGCTCTCTTAATTTGCTTTAGCTTACTTGTGCGAATTCATTTATTTTTAGATGATAAATTATTTTTGACGATTAATTCGCTCGTTGCGTTTAGGAGTTGAATTGTTATAAGTTGAGGGCCAGGCTCATAGTGTTTTTGACACAGGGTTTTTGTTCCCAAATATTTAGATATGTGCTTGAAGCTATATATAAACAGATGCATTGTTTGTTTTTTGTATTACACTTTATATGAGGGGCTGTCCAAAAAGTTATTTTTGTACAAAGACAATGGAATTATTAACTGTAATTTTATTTGGGGTAATTGAATTTTATTATGGGTAACACACTCAACTTGCAATGCAGAGGTCACTGGTGTGATCACATGCCAGGTCGTCGGTGGTTTGGTGAAGTGAGGGGAGCTCCCACCGTCTTCCAACACGACTGGTCATAACGTAAGAGTAGGCCAAATACCCTCTAGAACTTCCTCAAGTGGAGCTCCTTCTGCAAGCAGTGGCATACGCAAGACATTGCAGCGCTGCACTTTTACCTTTTTGTCATTTTATGTTGCCTTTAGGGGTTAATTTGTTCTAAATGGAATTGAGAAAACCCTCTATCAGATCATGTGGTTAATTCGTGTCTCCACATGGATGTATGGTAAACCGCATAGGACGATACTGACATGAATGCTTTTTATTATTGGATTCAATCACTTAAATACATTCCTGAAATATACCGTTATTTTCTCAAATAACTCTTATTTTTAGATATGTCAGTATTCTTTGACACAAGTGCCCCCTTGCAAAATATTGGGAAATAATGTTATTATTATACTTGCACCTGATGGCCAGACATATGCACAGTTTATTAATTCAGCCACCTTGACAGGAACATAGCTTAATTGGAGGCAATGCTGACATTCTGTGATTAAAAAATTTCATAAACTGAAATAGAAATGAAACTATTTCAACAAAATCGCTGTCATCTTCAGACCTACAAAAACATTTCCCGAATGTCAAATCCATGCAATTAATATCAAATATTGTTAAATTAAAAAAATCCGCATTCACTGCCGCGAAAATATCAGAGGATTGTCTTCGACAGAATGCTCTTGTTTAGAGCCTGAGTTCTAAACCTCAAAGGTTCCTTCGGGAGTTCCAAAGTGCTTCTCTTTACAACAGCCAATTTCTACCATTGATACGTAAATCATATGTAAACTATATTTCTACTCACATGCAGGTCGTATAACTGCCCACTTTTGCTCGAAGCGGAAACGTGGATGGATGTGGTTACTGATAACGCGTTGGTGTTGGTATTATCAGAAACACTTTGGTGTTATCCATCGACTGAAAGATGGCAACCCAACCGTGTTGTAATGCCTACCTGTTGTCTGTGAGACTCGGGATGAACAAATGTTTGTGCTCCTTTTTAATGACCTGTGACCGTGACTTTTGTTAAATAATGGATATAAAAAAAACATTCCTAAGCGAATTGTAGCAGCCTATTATGCACGATATTGTCTGTGGACACAGATGCCTTCAAAGTGTCGTATTTCTCCCGTATTTATTTGGTCTCAGATTTTACACAAACACAGACTGTTTAATCTTAATTTTGGAGCTTTCGTGACTGCAGGAATTATTCTTTGGTGCTTTCGGTTAAGTCACGTCTAAAGATAAAATAATAAATTAAATAATAGCATATTACGACGTTTAGATTGCAACACAAGCAATCATCATCAGGCATAAAAGAAATAGCAACAAAAATCTAACTGGAAAACTATAGACAGACATACAAGCAGACAGACATCACAAGGACACACAGAGAGAGAACACATATCGTCTGTCTGCTTGTATGTCTGTCTATAGTTTTCTAGTTAGATTTTTGTTGCAATTTCTTTTATGCCTGATGATGATTGCTTGTGTTGCAATCTAAACGTCGTAATATGCTATTATTTAATTTATAATTTTATCTTTAGACGTGACTTAACCGAAAGCACCAAAGAATAACAAACTGTTTACTCCTGCAGGTGCCGGATTGATTGTCAAACTTGGCCAACAATGAATTATCCATGAAAATCTCCCGTACGGGCTCCTGTCATTATCGTGCACTGAGAAAATGTGCCAACAGAATGTCGCAAAACGCAAACGAAGCTGCACAAATAAGTGTTTTCAAATATTAGTTGTGTCCTAGCCGGGTTAATGTTTGTACTTGAATATGTTTGCATAATGAAACTCATTGAGCAAAGGTTTATTTGTTTTTATGTGCTACTTAAACAGGGAGAGTGCTGGTAATTTTAAATATGTTCACATATATAAAGAATCGTTTTATAAATCCAACAAGTAAGCACAGTGTAAAATTAGATTTTCCAGAAATGTTATTTGTTATTGGGTTCTTTGACATAATGTTAAATGCATGAACGGTTGGTAACATGGTCTAAGTTGACATTAGAATTAAGTTTCAGCAAACATGTGTGTTCATATATTGAAAACCCATCATAATATGTTACTCCTCTGAAAAGTAGTAGATAATTAAAATTATCTTCACTATTTTAAAGTCACATATGTAAAACAATGCAGTAATTTTATGTCCTCTCATCCACAGTGTATCCTATAGATCTCATACAATTAGGCAAGAAATGATATCTTGCACCAGAAATTCCTAAAGAAAGCCAACCACTTAAAATGCCATGGATTTTTCCCTCTCAGCAATTACTTATATATAATGAGTTAATTTCCCCCCGTGCAAGAGCTGAATAAGCGGCAATTCAAAATGCTCTTTATACACACTACGTCATTTTAGTTACGTAACTTTGCAGGATGCTGCCCTGGTGTCAAGGTCAGCACCCTGGATTTGTAATCCAGAGGTCACCAGTTCCTTCTTTGAGCGTGGCAGTTGAAACAATGGCACAGGTTTCTTAAAACTGCCCACCACAGTCAATCAGCAGGTCGTGTGAGATGGAAGAATAGGCCGTCAGAAGCCCTTGTGCCAGTAGTGGCGTCAGCTATTGCAGGCTTCTAGATTTGAAGCTTTTGTGACTGCAAGGATTCATATTCTTAGGTTTTTTCGGTAAAGTCACGTAGGTAAAAAACATTAAAATTAATAAAAGTAAAATAAAATAAAAATCACGACGTTTCGGAGGCAACAGACGGCAGCTTGTGTTGCCTCCGAAACGTCGTGATTTTTAGTTTATTTTACTTTTATTAATTTTAATGTTTTTTACCTACGTGAGTTTACCGAAAAAACCTAAGAATATTGCAGGCTTGCAACCCTGATATTTTTTTTACTTTTTCATTTAGCTTCACATTGTGTTATATTCCAACAGCTGTAGTCAGCAATGCCTTAAGACTGTCTCCAGTTTATGGATGATCATATAAAAAATAATAAACAAATACTCGTGACACTGCAATCTGGAGACATAGCTGAACCTACAGAGATCGCTGAGAGCAATTGTCAGGTTAACGTGATTTCTTGTCAAAATTAGCATTGAGGCGGTGCTCCTCTGCTGTTTACAGGCCTGAAAGAGCAGTGGAAATTCCACTTTCCTTACGGAGAGCGCAAGTTCTGTGCATATGACAACCATTGTTGACTTCCCCGTAAAGTGGTCCCGACTTTATCGAACCCGGGGTCGGGGGGGATGATGGGCGTAGTCAACCACCAAACCGGGATTTGAACTCGCGACCTTCCGTTCGCTCCACTGCTGAGCCACCGAGGGCCAGTTTTGCTGACAAGTCAAGTTCATCGCATCAGAATTCACCTCCAATTAGCGCGGTCGCCTACGCGCGGCGCAACCCAAATTCAACAAACCGCACGCAGCACATCCATGCGTACGCACTCTTGTCGCACCCCCCCCCCGCAGCTACGTGTCAGCCGTCACGACGCCGGCACGGAGCTCCCCGGTCGAGCTGTACTTCCCGCGGCACAACGGGCACGCGGCAGCGGCGGCGGACGGCGCGCAGAGCTCGGCCCACTCGCCGAGGCCGCCCCCACTGCCGCCGCTGGGCACGGCGGCGCAATGCGCCGACAGCCCCTCCGCGCGGCTCTGGCGGCCCCCGAACCAGCACCAGCAGCAGCAGCACCGGGGCGGCTGGGGCGACGCGAGCCGCGGCGGCAGCTGCAGCAGCAGCGTGCCGCCGAGCCCAGCGTGGTTCCTGGAGGAGGAGGAGTACGAGACGACGCAGGAGTACGAGATTCCGCCCGACGACTACCCGAAGCGCGCCGCGGCGCAAGCGGCGGTGTCCGTGGCGCCGGTGAAGGGTCTCAACAGGGTGAAGCAGTCGTCTCGACGCAACGGCAAGCGGAAAAATGGCACGGTGATGGCCGGTGCCACCAAGGGCCCCATCGCCTTCGACTTTAGCACGGGCAGCAGCGGCACGGAGTCCGACGAGGAGGAGGAGGAAGAGAGTGAGTTTGAGATTGGTGAGAACACGCCCTTTCTGAGCATCCAGAACCCGCTCTCCGCTGCCTCTTTCGCCAACGGCGATGGGACGGCCGTCGTGTCTCCACGGTCCTTCTCAGGCCAGTATTCTGGCCCCCGGCTGGGCAGCCAGTCTCCATCCCGGCTGGTGGGTAACGGACGGCAAAACTCGCTGTCGTCGGCGTTCACCACCAGCCAGTTCAGCTCGGAAGAGGAGCTCCAGGCGAGGCTGGGAAACGCGCTCCGTAGACAGGATCCCATAGCCGTCTAAACTTGCTTTCTCGAGAAAACAAAAAAAAAAGGATCGAACCCTTGTCTGTTGTTGCTTCATTAAACTGAACGAAGTATTTAATAGATGCAAGTTATTCAACATAAGTAACGCACATGCTGAATTAGTGAAATTAACAAGACTGTTTCAGAAACTGCTCTTTGCAAATCCTAGTGACTCTTCTAATTGGGTATTATGCAGCATAGTGCCATATTACACATTGTGTAGGATTTGCATTATAAAGACTGCATATTGTATATTGTATACAAGATATGTTATTTTTTGTGCCTTTTTGTCTTTATTTATACTATAGCAGAGGTCAATCTGGGCATTGATAAGCCTAAATCATGATTATTGAGTGATGGCTTGGTTCATACGAAACTATTTTGCAATGTGCTAATGATATAAATCAATAAGTCAATTGCAGGCAACGTTGACAATTGTGCATACAAATTTACTGTCGTTAAAAAGACAGGAAAGCATGTAACTATGCACATGAGCAGATTCATCTTAGTAAACGTGCTGTTTTCAAAATGTGCTGACAGATAATCTTTCGTCTCCCATGAATATTGGTGGGTGGGTGGCTTAAACCACAATAATAGCATTTTTTAATACATATTATAAATCATTAATTCTTAAAGTTGTATGTTTTTGAAACTGTAATATTTATTAGCCATTTCTTTATTAACGTTAATATTTAGGATCACAGTACGTGTGTAGATTTTTATATTAAATTCCTAATTTTGTATTTCTTTTCCTTAAATAATTTTACATGTGTTTTTGGGTTCTAATTTTCTTAAGAGTACAATCATGGTAAAAAAATAATTATACACAAAAATAACTGTCTGAAATCATCTATTTAAAACAGGCCTTTGTTTCTATATATGATACGATACTTAAAAGTTTGATATGCAGTTTTAAATAAAGCATTTTAACAAAACACCTTTTTCCAAAGCTGATAATTACGTTTACAAATAAACTTGGTGGACGCTTCACGAAATTTTAAAATTGTGGTAATTTGTTTATTGGCATATTACAAAATCATTTAACCATATTTATTTTAAATACAGTCGGGACATCGAAATATACCCTAACACCTTGTCATCACTTAGTAGTCATGATTTTAAAAAGGACTTGTGCAATATTAGGAGCCAAACTTGTGTAAGGTAGACAAAGCTGTACATTGCGTGCATCCCATTTTACAGAAATTGTTTTGTATATTGACATATGACATTATACAAGTCCACGGATATTTTTTTTACAGTACCTTCCTGTTAACCCCAGTCCATCCCTAATATTGCACATGTCTTACGAGGCATGGGTGGAAATTGCAGTATGGAATAACTATTTCTCATGTTATAACCAGCCCTGCTGTACCGTGTACATTCAATAGAACTTTACTGAGCAGTAGGTTAAGCATACTAGAATCCTTCTTTCCCTTGCCAAAGTTTGTAATGTTTGAAAGAAGCGATTCCATTAAGCATGAGATGAGACTAATGCCTGCAGAGAATGTATATTTCTTTTGCGTTTCGGCCATTCAAATCATGTTTTGCTTGTTTCTTTTCATTTGTAGCCCCCACTGAATACGAACTTATCGTGTCGACGTCAAAGTTTCCGAGTGTGCAAATGCATAAGGAATTGTAAATTTCAAGTATTTTTTACTTGCATCACATGTGGTTTCTCTCTATATCTGATGTCGGTATGCAAATGATTTGTACGTTTACTGGAAGAAGTGTTGCTGCAATGGGAAGTCTTGGCATTTGCAAATTATGATGTTTGGCTCATGGACATGTGTCTGCTTGGTGTGTCCTTTTATTGTAAAAAAAATACAATCAGATCAACATTTTGGCCAAAACTAGAATAAATTAATAAAATGTATTCTACTGAATATTTTAATAATTTATTACAAATTCTATTCACCTTTAACTCGTATTATATTTTACATGAGGCTAACATGGATTGGTTTGTCAGCCACAAATATAACATTTAGATTTACATGTCTGAAAAACAAAATGTACAAGTTAGCACGTGCGTGTGTGTGTGTGCATTTTTGAGTTAATGAAATCATCGTTCAAGGGAACAAAAGTTGCATTTATGTTGATGTCATGTGCATAAAATATGTGTGAGGGGTAATCTAAAGGTTTTGAGAATTATGGACTAAAACAACTCGAATAAAATATCTGCCTTATTTTTATCGCAATATATGAACATTCTAAAAATTAGGGGTGTAATATTTGCATAATTTGACCAATCAATCTAAATTCCTGAGCTTGAAATGCATGCCGAGAGTGGCAAGTGGGAGAATCGACATTTTGCAATTCATTCGTGTTATGTAATGAGCTCACGTGATCCCCTGCAGTCACTCGAGGCCGCTACATTTGCCAGAATGATGACACAAGAATCGAACCGTGACCCTAAATTGCGACGATCCATTGCATTGCATGGGCAGTTGCATCATTGCACCCCTACCGAAATGGAACACAAAGCTGCAATTTTACCTCGGGCAAGTCCATTCTCACTCGATATTACTCACTGGAAAAATACACCACGGTATTAAGTTGTGAGTGCATATTTCAAACCGGGCCTCAAACATGTTTTGATCACCCTTCATGGCATTATTTCCACACGCTAAAAGGCCTATAAGCTGTACCTGGTAGGAAATAATTTTTTATTATATAACAAGATATATTCACTTTTGGACCGTACCAAAAAAACGCTGTTTCCACATGAATAAGCAAAAACTGATGAAATTATTACAAATGTAAATGTATTATTTAAATAGTTTCCAGGCACAAGACCTCCACAAAGGGGTCGTGTGTGCATGATTTCACCCTCTGCTTTGTTGATGTTCTCAAAGCTCAAAATGACATTTGTGTGTACTTGCCGTAGACACAAACTTTTTTTAATTTCAGGTTTTACCCTGCCATTAGAAAACAGAGTGTTGTGATATTGCGCGTATTAAATGGAATCACAGAAATACAAATATTATGATGCTAGAAAGCTGACAACTGCCAAAACGATGACTCACAGTCATCACCCCAGAGCAGCGAGTTAAATGTGTAAAATGTTAATGTTACATTTACGTGAGGAATGCATTGCTAATGTTAAGATATTCTCTTTTTAATACAGCCAACCTTTATACATCACTTGACAAAAGCCACATAGTCTTCTATTGAGATGGTTTTCCTCTTAGAAAATTAATAAATTAATAAATATACACATAGGCCAAACTTTGGCGAGTGTTTTTTTAGTATTTTAAGTCACGTTTCTAATTAATATTTCACTAATTATTATATTTCAGGATCCAGTGTGACTCCCTGAGAGCTTTTTGCAGTAATTTGCATGCCCTTTTCATCTGAGACTATTTCATTTTGGTTCGATTATTTTATTTTCACTAAAATGCACCCTCTCAAATTGAAAGTCTCAACGCAAAATCAAACAATAATACAATGTGCTTTATTTTTATGAACAAAAATGTGATAGGGTGGTTTATGGGTAGTTGGAACAAAGTTACTATCTGTAGGCATTAGCAAATAACCACTTCTCTTTTGTTTTAATTTTGACATGTATTCTATGGTAAATTAATAGTTTGAAGGTTTAACAATTCTATTTAACCACTTTATTTTTTTTTTCTGCACATATGTATTGCTTTAATTATTGCTTTTTTGTTGGAATAAGCATTTCATATTTTCGTGTGCTAATGTGCCCAACCGATTCCATATGGACCCAGTTATTCTTGCAAAGACTTAAGAGGAATATTTTTATTTCTCTCACAAATAAGGATTTTAGCGGGGGAAATAACTAGGTACAGCTGCATTAGCGGAGTGTTGTAAATACTTTTTTTCATTTCTCCACATAGAATAGAGTGTTAATGTTATTTATTTACTTGCATAATTGTTATATCAATCAGCCGTAAGCATTGCATACCATATTAATGTTTGTTTTATTATACGCCATCTTTTCCACATATTGTTGCATCTACAAATAGGACATAAGTGTTTAGAATAGGAAACATGTTTAATTTATTTCAAAGAAAATGGTTGAGCTTTTTAAGATTTTACTACTTTATAATAAAAAAGACGAGTTTACATCTAAACATCCTGCATTGAAAGTTATCCCAAAATTGTACGTTTAAATCTGTGGACTTTCCAACGATCATTTTTGCTGTACGTATGTAGGGCTTTGCTTCTTTTTTGTTTAAAAAAAAAGCTCAATAATACAAAAAAAAAGTTACATAAAACAAAAAATGGCAAAAAACCCATTTAAAAATTGTAAAAGAAAAAGAACAAAAATAAAAGAAAAATTATATATGTATTTATATATATTAAAAAATGACCTATGGGGGTCTTTCTTTTTGTTGTTTTGTTTGTCAGGTCGCACAGTTGCTTGCCCTGGTCCACAAAAAGGAAATCTTAAGCGTCCCTGCTGTTGATGTATATTATGCATTGCAAATGACCAAACCAAGACATTAAAACAATAAAATCAATTTACATTTGCTGTGCCGTGCTACCTTATTGTGTCTCTTTCTTCTGTTTGGTGCCACAGACAAATGTGTCCATGCGAGTGTCATTTGTTGTATATAAGTGGTGGTAGACAGAGAATTCATAGCACAGTGATAAGTGTGCTGCGTCTTGAATGAACCCTGGCGACCTGAGTTCCATTCGCCGGCCACAGCTAACATCAGTGGTGAGTGATATCAAAACCACTCTTGCCTTCCCTACCAGCCCTGTGCCAACCAACGCTGAGTTGAGTGGTGAATTATGGTTAAACAAAATCCATGACCGACATGCGTGGAGAGACCATCCATTGGAAAAATTCGAAGGGTACTACGATTCGACAAGGTATTGAGTGAGCCAACAGAATCGGAGAAAATATTAAGCCACAGTGGTTCGGGTGGCTGAGCTGTCATCGATAACTTCCTGGGTTTAGAATCAAGTAGCTGGCTTGATTAAAACAGTTTTTCAAGTCATGCCTAGTGCGTTGATTATCTTAACCCTATCAAACAAGGAATGTACCAAAAGTTTATTACAGTCGGTTCTGTATTTAATGATAATTTAAACATACGTGCGACTTGCGGAAGGGTGGGTGCGAAAGTGTTGCCCTCCAGTATGTGGATCAGATGTCACTTGAAGTGATCTCATAAATAGTTTTCTTGTATCCACCTCCACGGGCAATACAAAGCACTGCTCTGAAAGAATTTTGAATGGATTATTTGTCTCGTGACTTAAGGCTGATTCAAATAATCCACCATCGGTGTAACTTTGGCGGGGAGGAACCATGCTATGTAGGATTGGGATGGTACTATTCTCATTGTAAGGGCATGTTTGGTTGCTTTATACATAATTTAAATCGTTTAATGTGCTTATTCATTTGGCAATGCAGAGTTTTTTCATTTTATTAGAAAAATTAGGTCACTGTTTCATAACTTACACACTGCCCCTAGGCAATGAATGCCACTTTTGCAAGCAGAGTCCGCACAAAACATTGTCTCCATGTGTAGGAACATTTATCCGTAATGCGTTGTAGCGAATCAGTCATGGAGATATTGCCTTTGTATTGGGCACAGTTGGAGCATTTTGTTCTTTAAGCTGTGCACCAAGCATGCACGCAAAATCCAGTTTGTGATGTGTACACAAGTCACCACTGTTTCCTAAGCCCTTTAATGCAGCCTTAGGCCCACGATTCACAGTGTGCTGGATTAAAATGAAACGTGTAAAAATTGCAGGGGAAAAAATAAAATTTGGCAAATGGGTAAGTTTGCATATGCAACTGCACGTGAAATACTCACTTGCGATGATCTTGCTGTGCCGGTTTCAAAGAGAATGTGATGCCCCCCTCGAGCAGGGCACGGGTCACGAGGGCAGTCGTGACAAAGGGCAGGACCAGGGGGTTCAGATTATATCGTCTTGGCTTGGAGGCAGGACCAGACTGCAAGTGACATTTCATTGAAGTGCATTTCACGTAATCAGTTTATATATGCGCCCGAGGAATGACCACAGTGCCTTTTGCCCGTTATGAATGTTTGCGTGACTTTTTTGAATGCTGTCCACCGAGCTGGAGGATATCTCATTTGCAAAATTGGAAATGAGGAAAAGGCAGCTGCCTTATTTTAATATCATCATCATTATCACCCGTTATGTGGCAATAATGTTCCATCTCCCCTTTGTCTTCTCAGTTTTTCTCTCATTCAATATCCATGAAGATTTTTCTTCTCCATGTCTCTTATTACTCCCTTTCAACTCTGTGATGGCGTTCTTCTACGTTTATTCCCAGTCCCTCTAAGCATTTATACAGATTCAAATTACGACCTTATTGTACCCTGGGCTGAAATATATTTTGCGATATTGATCACGTGACAGCAAATATAAATAATATTAATTGTACGCACATTAAAACAAAATTATCATGAAAACCAATAAGATGTTTTCATGATAATTGGTTCTTTACCCTTCTATCTGGCAACAAAACTGACACCTTTTTGCAAGGAGTCATGTTTGCATAGACCGCAATACCTGCAGTCATAATACAAACTAAAGAACATAACTCTGATAATGTGCACTGTCCTTGAGACTAGGCTCGAAGGAAAGCTGTCTCGGGTGTGGACCAATCAACTTCAAGGACAGTGCACATTATCAGAGTTATGTTCTTTTGTTTGTATTATGACTGCAGGTATTGCGGTCTATGCAAACATGACTCCTTGCAAAAAGGTGTCAGTTTTGTTGCCAGATAGAAGGGTAAAGAACCAATTATCATATTTTTACTGGCAAATGAGGTCCCCATAGTGAAGATGTTTTCAATCAGGCCATTATCTGCCATGAAATGCAGAGGAAAAGTGAATACTGACAATGAATGTGGGACAATGCAGGAGATGTGGTGAGATGCTAACGACCTTTCCTGGTATGCAGGAGGTTGTGGGTTCGATCCCGACCTTGACGCCTGCTGTATATTTGGAGTTGGCACGTTCTCCCCGTGGTCGTGTGGAGTTTTCTCCTGGTCCTCCGGGTTTTCCCTCCGGGTTTTCCCTCCACATTTAGGCAATACGCGTTTAGAGTATTTGGCTGCTAAACATTTCCACTTTCGTCGAGCTATCATTTGTGACCAGGTCGCTTCTGAAAAAAGATCTATATCGCTCAGGTCGGCTTTACATGGTAAACAAAAAAGTAGATTTTTAAGTTCAGGTTATATACACACAATGGCCGATGGATAAAACTGGTGACGGAATGGCAGCTAAAGGAGGGAACACGCTCGAGAGAACAACCACCACGGAGATGGAGCTATGAGATGAGCCTGCGCATTGGGAGGGAGATGGATTTTGACATCTCGGGAACATGAACGCATGGTGAAGGCAACAGAGTGGCAACAGAGTGCCTTCACCAGAGCGTCTTCACTATCCAGCAGTGAATAAAGTATGGCTAATGATGAAGGGTTCAGTGGCATACAATAGAATTGGCATTTATAGGCATGTCTGAAATCATATTATTGGTTCTTTCGGTAAAGTCACGTAGAAGAGAAAAAAAATTTATAAAATACAATTCTCACGACGTTTCGGCCACAACACAAGCAGCTGTCCTCAGGCTGCTTGTCGAAAGACAACTCTGTTCTTCACCTGAGGACGGCTGCTTGTGTTGTGGCCGAAACGTCGTGATAATTTTATTTTATTATGTTTAATTTTTATTACTTTATTATTTTCCTTCTACGCGACTTTACCAAAAGAACCAAGAATATGAATCCCTGCAGTCACGAAAGCTTTAAATCGAAAATGTCTGCGAAATAAGCACGAATATTTAGATGTATTAATTTCTGCGTCCCATGAAGACATTATTACTGTGGTATGGTAGTTGCAATACAAGATGTTGGTCTGATAATTATTTTCACGAGATAATATACTGGGGATTTTTTTTACCCATACAATCATATCTATACAGCAGCTTATCAACCCACACTGACCAGAGTGGTGAAGTATAGTCAGGTAAATTTCGATTTAAAGCTTTCGTGACTGCAGGGATTCATCTTCTTGGTTCTTTCGATATATCGTCAGGTAATCCACACGATCAGCATGGCGAGGGGAAGCCTTAATCCAGCAATGGATTGACAACTGCATTGTTAGTAATATTTTTACACAAGAGGACACTTCAATTAATGCAAAATGCCTGGTGAGGATTGGGTTGGTGATCCAATCTGTGCTGTTGACGGCATAGACACGAGTGTGTGTGTCTGCGTGTGTGCTAGTTTGTGTGTGTCTGCATGTGTGCGAGTTTATATTCTTAGGTTTTTTCGGTAAAGTCACGTAGGTAAAAAATGTAAATTAATAAAAGTAAAATAAAAAATAAAATTAAAATCAGACTCGTGATTTTAATTTTATTTTTATTTTTTATTTTACTTTTATAAATTTTAATTTTTTACCTACGTGACTTTACCGAGAAAACCTAAGAATATGAATCATTGCAGTCACGAAAGCTTCAAATCTAGAATGTGTGCGAGTTTGTTTGTGTGTAGTGTCGTGGTGAGCGCGCCGCACTATGAACCCAGCGGTCCAAGCTCCGATTCCCGCTCATGGCTACCAACACCAATGACGATTACCTGATGTGGTCCTGAACCTTCCCTAGGTTGGCTCAATCTCAAATGAGTACCTGGTGCGATGTGTAAACATGGCCACTGTGGGAGACAAAGGCGGCCAGGGCGTGGTGTTGGCCACCCACCCTCTCGTGTGCCGTGCCGGCCTAAATAGGTGCTCGCTAACAGCGAGTTCACTCGGCGTGGTTCAGTGCTGCTGAGGTTGTGCACTCTCCACACGGCCCTGGTGCTGACGAGTTGCGCACAAGATGCGTTGTGTGTGTGGGAGGTGTTTTTGCTTTGACGTGGAGTGACAGGCATATGAACGGAGACGTGGTTATCTGCGTGTCTATTTCGGTACACATACAAGTTGAGGCACAGCTGTTATTGCGCTGCGCTTTGCTCTGCTTAAACCCAGTTTGGTTCCTGGCCACAAGCGAACGTAGCTTCCTTTCGTGCAAGCGGTTCTTCGTTTTCTTCGTCTTCTTAACTTGAGGTGCACCCTGCACCCCCTGGGGGTGCGAGATGCCCTTTCTGGGGAGTGCGAGACAAATCATCGAAACATAAATTAAGCACGGGCACATTAGAACAGCTACTTTGTTTCATCAAACCCCTGTGTATTTTTTATTTAAAGCTTTCGTGACTGCAAGGATTCATATTCTTGGTTATTTCGGTAAAGTCACGTAGAAGAGAAATATTAATATTATTTTATTATTTCCCTTCTACGTGACTTTACCGAAAGAACCAAGAATATGAATCCCTGTGTATTTGTTAACATTGTACGTGTTTACACGATACAGAATCCAAGGGGTGGCAAGGCTGCAGTAAAGGTTAACAACTCCTGGTCCCGTGGCTCATCATAACGTGAGAATAATGTGTGAGTGTGTGATGCATCAATTTCAGTAGCAAGTGGATCAACGGTGTAATTGT